CTCAAATCTGGATTTCTCATGTATCACCACTGAGGAGCCAGCTGAATGAAGAGATGAGTTGATTTAAGATCCATTTAAAGAAAAACATGCAGCTCTGGGGAAATTCTCAAAGGCAGCTCAAGAAGTTTGGGAACATCGTAAATCTGAACAAGAGATGCTAGTGGAGAGGAGTCTGGACTCTTGAGCACCACATTGGGAAGGTATTGTCCCTTTGGGAAGCTTCCTAGAACTTCTTTACGGTGGGCAAATAATGCCCCCTCCAAATGTCAACAGTCTCATCCCTTGACCATGTCACCTGGCCTGCAAAAGGGACTCTGCAGATGTGGTTGACTTAAGGACCTTGAGAGGGGGGTGTTAACTTGGATTGTCAAGTAGGTATGATGTCATCACAAAGGCCTTTTAAGGAAAAGAAGGAGACAAGAAGGTCAAAGTCAGAGATGTGATGCCCAACAAGACCACAGTGGTGCTTGCTATAGTTTAAATCTAGGATGTCCCCCTCCTCAAGCCTCACGTTCAGAGGTGGGGCTTTGAGAAAGTGTTTAGATCATGGGGGGTGCTATATTCATCAGGGGATTAATCCGTAATGAGTTCAAGGTAGACACTGGTTGGAGACGGATCATTGGAGGTGTTACCTGGAAGCATGTGTTCCTGTCCCCAGCTCCTTCCTCCCTCTCTGCTTCCTGGCTGCCGTGGGGTGAAACAGCTGTGCTCCACCAGGTCCTTCTACCATGCTGTTTCTGCCTTGGAGCCGGCCAGCCATGGACTGAACCCACGGGAAACTGTAAGCCAAACAAACTACTCTTCCAATAAGTTGTAGGTGTTGAGTATTTTGTCCCTGTGACAGGAAAGTGACTAACAAAATGCCGTTGCTGGCTTTGAGATGGAAGATGGTCACAAACCAAAGAAACTGGACAGCTTCTAGAAGCTGAAAAAACAAGGAGCCAGTTTCTCTCTGTAGAATCTGAAGGATCTCAGTCCTGCCACACCTGGATTTTGGCTCAGCCCAGCAAAACCTAATTTGGACTTAAGACCTGCAGAACGAACATGTGTTGTGTTTAGCCATCGACTTTGTAGTGAAGTCACAGCAGGAATAAGGTAGAAAACAGCTAGATCCGTCAATATCTCTACACGGGTACTGATCCCTTGGGACACTTGGGGGCCTCCACGCCTCTCTCAGTGTCCTGGCCTCCCTGCTGCACTAACAATGAAAATATCTTCCATTTATTGCTCCAACTGTACAGCAAGCATCACGCTTAACCTAGACTGCGAAAGCCACCCAGCAACATGGACACAGGAGCTTGTTACTCAGATCCACAGTTGTTGTCCAGATCCCCTTTGCTGCTTCTCTGCCCTGCTCTCTGCCAGGTGGTCAGTGTGAGTCACACCAAAGGGCTTTCTACTCCCCTCCCTGCCTCTTGGGCTTGGCCAGTGGGAGGCACCAACAGGAACCCAGGAGGTGGGTGAGGATGGTCAGCACATCTGTTTTTTGCCCCCAGCTCCCCTCTCTCTGCAGGGCCACCAGGGTTGGATGAGCCCCTCCACCAAGGAATATGGAGCTGCAGGTGACCCTCTGCACACAGCCACTTTCTCCAGGTTCCTGTTCTTTGCCTTTCAGGCCTGTGGGTGGTAACAGAAACCCACTACTCTAACTATGGGTGCTGTTTCATCCCTTGTCATTTCCCCATGCTGTCAATGACCTTGCATCTCCCGGCAGGATCCTCATGATGATACCACGGGGATATCCGATGGTACAGAACACTACAGCTGATACAAACATATCGCAGACAAGTTATCATCGGTCCAAGGCCTACAGCCAGGAAGGGGAAAACCCAGTGCTCAAACCCCAGTCTGCCTACAGCCCTGGGCCAGAGTCTGTCGGGGCGGCTCTCAGGCTGTGGGCTGCACGGAGCCAGGGCAGAGGTTTTATTATTTTACTGGACCACAGGATGAATTCCTGCTTCTCGTGAAAAATAAACTCAGCCAGCACAGTTTTGAATGCTTTGAGTGTTGATTCCTTTGACCCTCCAAATGACTCTACAAGGTAAATACCAATGCAACTTACTTTTAAATGAGGGGAAACTGAGGCACGGAGATTACATCACTTGTCTAAGGTCTCTCAGCTAGCATGTGCTGGAGCTGTGACCTAAACCTACCACATCCATGGATTTTGGAAAACAGCCCTCCATCGTAGCATGGGGCTCCCCACACTGCCAAGGTCTGCAACACACCCACCTTGTGTCACTTGCTTGGCCCCCAAAAGCATTTGATTCTAGTTTCCCAGGGCTCTACTGTGTGTCCAAGGAAAAAAAAAAACCCCGGCTCTCCCCTTGGGCTTCTGGGTTGGGACAGGCTAATTCCTAGGCATCACTTTTATCCCAGGGCAGGCTCTGCCATCAAGTGGGAAATTTATCATCACCCTGAACGTGGCTCACCAGGAGAACACTCTGTCCGGGGCTCAACGCCACAGCACCGGTGCCTGCCTGGCGCACTCTTCTCTGGCCACATCATGGATTTCTGATTGTGGCCAGCGCCTGGCTGGAGCCTGTGGGAGCCCAGCACTCCTGCCCCTGTGCGCACAGCACACAGAGCCCTTGTTCTCCTGGCTCCCGCCCTGCTCAGGTTGGATTCTTGCCTTGGGCTGAGTGGGGCTCTAACTTTGTCCTCCCTTGGCCACCGTCCCCTATCTGCCCACCCACAGGGAAAGTGAGCCGTGCAGAAGCACTTTCTAAACATCTGTGAAATCAGAGCTGGCTGTGCCTCTGTACAGGGCATCACCCTCAGAATGGGCAGTTTTGCTGGATTTTGTTTCTCTCCCTTTACTCTCGGTTCTTCCTCGGTTTCCTGAGCACCCCAGGGGACCAAGGGGAGGAGAGTCCCACTAAATGCCCTCATTGTGAGAGTAACTGAACCATCCCCAAACCCTTGAGAGGGATCCAGGAGGGCGGAGGCCCCTGCCTGCAAGGGGATGATGGCCCTCTTATCACGGAGGGTGTGGGTAAGGAGAGAGTGCGGAGAATTGCTGGAAAGAACTGGTTTGACCTCAGGGGAGGCAAACACATTCTAGAAAGAGATGAGAAGTGTTATCTTGCCAAAGTGCGCAATTAATTGCCCATTATCCTAAGGAGTAGGTTTTCATCTCTGAAAACTCTGAGATCAGATGGAACTAGATCAGTCCCAAGAAGCGGCCTCCATGGAGTCCCCACTGGGTGTGTGGCTCATAAATATTTATGTAGTGCTGCTGTGTACAGGACATTCCGGGAGGTGCCTGAAGGACTGCCTGGGGGAGGAGGCAGGGTTAGGCCTAGATCCTAATCTTGACTTTGGTTCTGATTGACTGCGCCCCCTGGGCCTTTCCCCTCCCCCACACATCAATTTCCCCAGCCATAGAAAAAGGGAGTGCGTCCAGGTGAGCTCAGCTTTGCCCACCTCTGATCCACAAGCTCCACATGGGGCTCAGAAGCGTGGCAAAGGCTGTTCATTTATTTGTCCCACTGCCCCCCTGTCAGCTCTGAACTCGGCAGTGCTTTAACCACTGGTGGTATCGCGTCGTCATGAGCCTGTCACCTTTCCAAAGCCCCATCTCTGCCCGCAAGCCCTTGGGGGACCTTTTAGATCTCAACCGTAATAGGGTGTTTCCTCCAGAGCCCTCACAGAGGTCCCGCCATGCGCTTCCCAGCCGTGACCCAGGACCCCAGAGGACACCCTTACTGGGCGTGGCGCCTGAGCCCGGTACCGTGTTGGGACCAGGCCACAGAGCAGGCATCACAGGGAACGAGGATCCGTTCTATTCTCAAGCACATGCAGAGCGCCGACTGCACTCAGGGTCCTTCTTCACCCCTGTCCCTGCGCCCTGGCCACGTTCCGCTCCTTTCTCAGCAGGAGACCAACCCTGAGGCCTCCCTCGCCCTGAGAACCAGCGTCCTCCACTCCTTGGCTGAGCCGATGTTCCCGTCCTCACATCCGTCCTCCACATCTCCTCCTCGGAATAACCCTCTGATCCCCCAAATAAGCGCAGTCTCTTTCCTGGTTGCTCCAAAGCACTGCAGCCCCTCCCTCTCGGGGAGCTCATTACACCTCCTTGAAGGGAGTTAAGTGTTACTGAAAATCAGCCTGGCCCGAGGGGAAGGACCGCAGAGTGCTGAAGGGCACAGCCGTTGGCATCACCAGACAAGCTTGGGTTCAGGCTGTGGCTCTGCCACCCACAGCAGGACCTCAAGTACACCAGCTCTCCTCTCAGAGCCTCGGTTTCCCATCTCTAAAGAGGGGCATTCATACACTGACCTCAGACTGCGCATGCGCAGGGCACGGTACTAGTCCTTTATTATCATTATTGCCGTCATTAGTGCAGTGGTTAAGAACATGAACTCTTGGGCCAGACATAAGGTAAACGTAGAGGTACATAAAATACTTGGGCCTCCAAAGAGCTCCCATCTGCTTCTCCAGGAAGGCTGGGAGCAGAAAACTGAGCCTCAGCTTGCTCATCTGTGAAGTGGGCTCTTAGGAAGATTTCTCTACAGAGCAAAAGTGTGGGCACCCACAGGCACAAGCTGAGTCACTGCTGGTGCGTTCTGAAAGCTTCTAGGACAGCCCCTGGGATGTTTCCACCAACAGGGCAGGGGCGCTGAAATGTGGACACATGGAAAAACCAATTAACCTAACATGGACTCTCTGGGTGCGAAGAAATGAAGCCGCAGCAGGTGCTCAGGGCTTTGCTAATGTCTAGCTTGACTGCATATCTGCTGTAACCCCAGCCCCATCCCTGGCCAGTCCCTGCCTGACCCCTGGCCCTGGAAGAATAAGGTTAAGATCCCGAGGGTTCACATGGCCAGGGGGTTGTGAATTTTACAGTGTCTCCGTCACTTTGAAGTGGAGCCTTCAATAGTGAAGGTGTCAGTGGGAATCCTTTGATCATTTCTCCTTGCAGGCAAAGGGGAAAGAAAAGGTACTTTAGGGTGAAGTCTGTGACCTAAAGGTGGGTGGTGCCCCGTTTGTTCCCCTACCTGGAAGTCAGGCAAGCTGGCTCCACTCCTAGCTGTGTGGCTCTGGGCAAACTCACTTCACCTCTGATCCTCAGAGGAGATCTCAGGATATGGCTGTCGGCTTCAATGAGGTGATCCACGCACAGGGCCTGGCAAGTAGCAAGAGCTCTGTAACTCTGTACCCCATTCCCCAAACCAGGTTCCAGCCTGGATCTACTGCTCACTACCGCGTAGCCCTCTGCCATAGGATAAAAGGGAGTTGAGCCCTGGTGAGGATGACAGAGTGAGTGGGTATCATTGCCATAATAAACACGGAGGCCGCTCTGTGAAGTATTTGCTCCTCTCACTTACCTACTTCCCCAACCTTCCCTTCACCACCCCCAAGGCCATTACTTCAGCTCAGGCCCCATTGTCTCAGGTCACGTTCATTCATTCAACAACCATGGAACAGGCACAACGACCGACCAGGCCTCACTGCAGGCAAGCCTCAGCTGGTGGTGATGCCACCACCTCTCCCACCTCAAGGGGCACTTGGCAGTGTCTAGAGATGATTGTGAGCGTCACAATGGGGTGGGGAGGTGGGTGCTACTGGTATCTATTGGGTAGAGACCTGCTGTGCATCTACCAGTGCCCCTGTAATCCCAGCCACAAATCAGTTGGTGAAACGCCCATCATGCCAAGGTTGCCAGTGTCCTGAGAGGGAGACACAGACAGTGAATGGAATAAGTGAGTCATCCCCACCCCTGAGGCAGATTAGACCGTGTAAAAGGCTAGGGAAGGCCAGGCCCCTTCCCCTGCCAAGCCTGATTCTGCTCTGTACATGGCAGCCAGGGCCGTCTAACCAGAAGCTTCGTGCCCCGTTCCTCTCCCCAGGCCCCCACCAAGGCGGGTGGTGCCCACCATGACTCAAAGGCCTGCCGCGACACAGCCCCTCTGGCTCCCCTCGCCTCCAACGTGACACCCTCCCCAGACCACCCTGTACCTTTGCCTGATCCTCTTGCTCTCAGAGGGCTCCGCCGATGCCGCCTCCTCCAGGAAGGCCTCCTGGCACCTGTCATTTAGGGGAGAAGCCTCCCCTGGCTGTGACGGTACCTTGTGCTTCTTCTAGGGAAGTGCCTGCTGACAGGATGGTGGGGACTTCCTGTCTGCTTCACCAGACTTCGAGCTCCTTGAGGGTGGGCAGCAAGGCATCTTGCTCACCATTCCAGGGTCTGCCCAGGACTTGGGTGTCCTAAGACCACTGGACCTTCAGGGCTAAGACTGGGGACACGCCGGGTAAACCCAAATCCAGTGGTATCTGTGATTATATTCGCGGTTTTACAGAGCCTAGTCCAAAAGAAGCTCAATTCGTACCTGCGCGGAGAACAGCAAGAGCCCAAGACATGTTTCTTAAAGAGATGGGTGGATGAAGTTCCTCCTCAGTGGGTACAGACTCCAAGACCATCAGGTCGACTTCTGACAATCCTGTAAGACTCCAACCCCGTCCAGCCCGATGCAAGCTTCAAAGCCCAGCAGAGACCACAGCATGTCTGCTCTCCAGCTGGGCGGGTTTGAGAGCAGAGCCTAGACCCACCCTCCTATCTTCACAAAGAGAGCTCCGGGTGCTGGGAGAGCCACTGGGATGGTAAGTGCGGACACCGAGTCCTCCTGGCCCTGGACACCAGCTCACGCCAGGCCTTGGGGGCCTGTGTCCTCATTCTAACCCTGGCCAGGGCTGTCACCTGACGCTCACCCGCGCCAGCTTATCTCCCTGTCTGTCAGTGTCCAGAGAAACCCGGGACTAAACAGTGCTTCTCAGGTTTTATTTTTCTCTTTCTTTCCTATTTTCTCTTTTTACTCTTATGTTTTTCTGGGGCAATCAAACCCAACGTTATCACCCTCTGGAGAAGGGACCAACCATGCCTCTGGGCAGGTAGCCTCTGTCCCAGGACAAAAGAGGCCCCGGTTTGTTTTCACACATGCAACTCTGGGCCCCCAGGGGTCTCCAGGACAGAGGGGACAGACCTCACAGCAGGATTTGCTGTGCTGAAGCTGAAGAATAACTCGGGTGGAAACAGGAAGTCAAAGGGTGTTTTCTGTACAAAAGGCCTAAGCGACAATGGCCCAGGTAGGATTCCCAGAGGTCGTTACCTGGAGGGACGCAGGGGACTTTTTCATGGGAATCATGACCCACATATACAAAAACAGAAAGATACAAGGAATGAATCCTTGTGCAATGAATGCACACCCATGTGGCCACTGTCCAGGGCCAGAGCCCACACTACCAGCACCCCAAAACCCCTTCTGTACCCCTCTATTCAACATCTCTCCTCTTTTCCTACTCAAGGTTATTGCTTCTGACTATTGTCATTTTTTCTTCATTTTCTGTGTAATATTTTCACCAAGCATGCCTGCCTCCGAGACACCATAGTTTAGCTTCTTCTTATAACTAAAATTACACAGCATGTGATTTTGTTTCTGGCTTTTTGCTGGCATTGATTTTGCATGACATGTCCTTTTGTGGCCCGCAGCTGTGGTTCGCTGCCAGTGCTGCAGACGATTCCTGTGTAGGTCTAAACCGCATTTCACTCCTCTGTTCTGCCATAATGGACGTTTTGGGCCGTCTCTGGCTTTCACTGTTATGAATATTACGGAAACAACAGAGGAAAACAGTACATAGTCATTGCTATTCAGGGTACTGCTCAACGTGGGGCCACAAGGGAGGCGCTGCGCCGTGTTAGAAAGTTCCGCCAGGTTTTCAAAGCAGCAGCACCAGTTCGCACTCACGCCAGCAGTGTGTGTGTGTGTGTGTGTGTGTCCCGAAGACTCCTTTTAACTCTACCCGTGAACTTGATAACCTCAGTGTCACATGCAGCAGGCTGGGAGCGTGACCTCAATGGGAGCCGAACACACACAGCAGTGCCCTGACTCCCTACGCAGTCCCATAGAGGTGACACAGGCTACTTAAACCACTCCTCAGCACAGGCATCATGAACCCCAGGAAAGATGCGATGCTTGGTGAGCACAGGGGGGATATGGCCTGTCCAGCGGAGCCCCCAAGGAGCACTCTGAAGAAATGCTTCACTCCGGACCTGAAGGGGAGCTGCAATTAACCAGGCAAAGAAGGAAGCGTGCTCAGCTGATGGTAGGACAATGTGCAAAGGCCCTGAGATGCGAAGGAGAAGGGTGAGTTTACAGAGCTGGAAAACAGGCCCAGAGAAGTCAAGAAAGTCCCCTGAGTCGATGCAGTAAGTGAGCAGCAGTGCCGGGCTGGGGCTCCACTGCACCCATGGGGCAGTTGGTGTGAACGTAAACTGCTCCCTTGGAAGGCAGCATCAGGTCACAAGAGGATGGGCTTCTAGGTCCAGGGAGGCCAAAGTTCAAATCCCAGGTCTGCCAAGTCCTGTGTGTGTGACCTCTGACAATACCTTTCGTCTCTCAGAGCCTCAGTTTCGTCACAGTAAAGCCATGGAGGAAGTGGAGGGGATTGTGCTTGAAAAGGGCCTGGCAGGGCAAGTGCTCAGTACCTGCAAGAAGCCTCAGAATCTCCCTCCCTCTCCCCAGGCTGCTGCAGCTGCAGGAAGACCTGTTTTACTGAGCACTTACTATGGACCCGACAACTCTTAGGGGGCAGGAGCTATGAAGGTCCCCCCCTACCATGCTGCTGATGGAAAATCTGAGGCTCAGAGAGGTCAAGTGATGCACCCTAAGTCACTCAGCTGTGAAGGGGTAAAGTCAGGATGGAATCCTCCCTCACACAGAGGGATAGCAGGTGAGCTATGTTCTCGGCCTCGGCAGGAGTTTTACCCCGGGACATCGATAGTGTAGAGCAGGAAATCAGAGAGAAGCTTCATCATCTCAGGCAGCAAAATGAACTGCTTCTAAGCACCCGCTCCTGCTGAGGCCCATCTACAAAGCCCGTCACAAATGGCACAGCTCAGAGTAAAATAAGTCCTCCCAGGGACATCAAAGGAGCCACTATGCACAAGGCACACGGCCCCGGCTCCCAGAGAAGTGGGTGGTGTCCTCTGGGGTCACCCCCCCACACACACACTCTCTGCTGTCCACACTGGAAGGACCTGTCCTTTCTCACAAGCAGCCGCCCAGACACTCTTTGGCCAGCCTGTGTTAAAACTGCCTGAACTGGTGGCCAGCACTTACCACCAGGTAGATTTCTCATGCAACCTTGGGATTCACTTAAAAAAATAAACCAAGATGGTGGCTTTCCTGGGCCAAGTCGTTGTATGGGAAAAGGGGGCTGGGCTAGGGACAGCCACCTTCCCTCTGAGACAGGACACTCCCTGCGAGATAGGCCCATGCCTGGAGACCTGCCTGCTTCTGGAGGCACCTGGCGTTGTGTCCCTAACCTGCATCTTTGAAGCCATCATGGCTTTTAGCTGGGAAGATGGCCAGACGGTGAGAGCTTGTTAGGGAACAGCTGCTTCTGTCAACCAGGAGTGAAGGGCCGTGACTGGTGCAAGGGGGCACGGGAGTGAGCAGATGTCCACGCTGAGCAGATCTAGAGGAGCCTGTCGCTGCTCTGAGCGCTGCATGCCTGTGTGGTCACCAGGCCAATGACAGTCACAGGAACAGGTGGCATCCACGCATGCTGCACACTCTGGGTGCCTCGTGTCCTTGACCTCCTCCACCCTCCGTAGCTTTCGGATGAGCGCTACATGGCTTGAGATGGGTCCTTTCCACGTGAACAGCAATCGGGTTCCCTCCATAAGTTAACCAGGCTGCGGCTTCCTCCGGGGACTCATCCTGCCCCCACAATAGGTGATTATGGCTCAGGAAGCCACAAAGGCTGATCCGTGTGTGGTTGGCCGCAGGACCCGGGCCAAGGTGATTGATTCCAGGAAATCTCAGGTTTCTACTGCAGCCCTGCTGGCATTGGGCTTGCAGCTGCCACGACGCCAGCACAAAGCTGCTCCTCGGCTTCTGAGCCCAGAAGAAAAGAATCAACTTGCAAAAAAGGTCCCTGGGGGAGAGGGCAGGGAGAAGGCTGGTAAAGAGGGGAGCACCAAGAAGGAACAGAGGAGGCAGAAAAGAGGAGCCAGGGAAAGGGAGAGGGCGGGAGCTACAGCATTGTCAAGCTTCTGGATCCAGCCAAGCCTGAAGTTAGACTTCTAGTTACATTATGTTCCCTTTCTTGTCTGAGAAGAAACAGAAAGGTAATGCTATGGAAGATGGACTTTCTGCCACTTGTAGCCCAAAGAATCCTGCGGAAGGTGAACATTGGCTTTATGTCCACTCAGCGGCACTAGTGCCTGCCTGGCAAGCGCAAGGTCCTCAGTTCAATTCCTGGTACCAAAAACAAAAACAAAAACAAAAAAACCCCATGCATATGAGTAGCTGGAGGTTAAGGGGGTTGAAATAAATGACCCAAGGCCGCGAGGCAGTGAGCAGGCAATGCTTGTCTTAAGCAAGATCTCGCTGCACCTCAGGCTCTTAAGGTAAGGTCTTGAACTCTGTAGAGCTGTCCCTCATCCCCCAGGGAGTCGAGAGTTAGGGATTTCAGAAACAGCACGTTTCCGGAGCTGCTGAGACTGAGGGGTGTTTGGGGGAGGCCAGGGTGGGCGGAAAGGGGGAGCTGTATGGAGATGAAAAATATAATTATTATTTAAATCAGTTCCGATGCCAGGAGGAGAAAAGCCAAAGCTTTCGGTGGCATTTCCCCAGTGCCATTTTCAATTCTGTCTTATCAAAACACAGCTGGGATTTGTTTTCCAAAAAGAGAAAAAAAGGCTCCTTTAATAAAAAAAAAGAAAAGAAAATTCTCTAATAAACGTTAAAATAGCCCGTAGGCCGCCAGGTGACAATGGAAGAAAGGCTGGGGCATTTTAGCAACTTAAAGCAGATTAAAAAACTAATTTGTGGACTCTTTTAGCCAGCCCTGCCTTCTCCTAGCGAAGGCCTTGTGTTTTGCATAATAGGGCTGGAACTGCGATTTCAATGGGCTCCCACCTCAGGTGAGGGCAGCTTGCTTCTTGTTGCTGGGCTGGAGTTTAATGGAATCATTTCACTTCCCCGACTCTAACTCTGTACAAGGCTTCCCACTGCTGGGAGAATAATGAAAAGGAGAAAGCTCATGGGGCCCTCAGACCCTTAGACTGCATACCAGCTCTTCCTTACCCACCAAAACCCTAGTGTCAGTGCCCTTTGGTCCATACCATTCCCCAATGCACCCTAGGGCCTTTGCACATGCTATTTCCTCTTTCTAGCATGCTCTTCCTATCCTTCTCCACCTGGTTAACTCTTCTCATCCTTTGGGTTCCAGCTCAGTTTTTCCTTTCTTAGGGAAACCTGCCTTTCAGATGCCCTGTGATGTGCACCCTGGCCTCATCTGCTCTCCTTTCTGGAGTATATGCCCAGATGTGCCTTTTGAATTATAATTTTATACAGGGCTATGTCTTGTATTTCCACCATCTCCACTGGGCCTAGCATATAGTAGGTGCTCAATGAAAAACCTGTTGAGCAGGGAAATGGATGACTGCCCGTGGGGTGGGAGCATGTGGCGTTTGTTAGTGCCTTGGGTTCTCCTGGCACCTGAAGTTGTGTCCTCTTTGGGCTCTGTCCAAGGCCCCCAGGCCACACTCTCCAAATCTACCCTCCTTTAGGTGCACATGGCGCTCTAGGGGTGAGATCACACAGTGCCAGGAGACTGCGCAGCCTCTAGGGTTAGACCTGGGTTCAAATCCCAGCCCTGCCTCTTACACCCCAAGACCGGCCTCAGGCAGTCACTGCATCTCTCTAGACCTTCGCTGCGTTTATTTATTTTGTTAGTGGTAGAATATACACAAAACTTATCCTTCGTAAGGATGTTTAAGTGTTCAGTTGGGCGATACCCATATAATTGTGCAACTATTGCCGCCACCCACCTGCTGAACTTTTGCATCCTCCCAAACTAAATTCTTGTCCCCCTTAAACTCTCATTTCCCACTTCCGCCTTCCCCACCATTCCACGCTCCTGCCACCCTACCTTCTGTCTCAACACTCTGACCACCCCGGGGCCTCTGAAGAGTGGAGTCTTGCGGGCGCCAGTCCCGCTGTGTCTGGTTTAGTTCACTTGGCGTAAGGCCTTAGAGGCCACCTATGCCACAGCCTGTGTCAGAATGTCCTTCCTCTTTGAGGCTGACTAATATTCCATTATTTTGTTCATAAGCCACACTCTGTTTATTCTTTCACGGGCACCGGTGCTTCCAACTCGGGCAGCTGTGAGTACTGCTGCTGGGAGCATGGCGGAGCTCCTGACCTCAAACGGGAGATAACCCAGCTCTTCCCTGGCTGGCCCGCTCCTTCAGGACCAGTGAGTGACAACAGCAGCGGGCAGGGCACACAGGAAGCACCCCCACCCCTCGGCCAGCAGGTGGCGGGCGGCTCACCCTACCTGGGAGGCCTGGGGGGATCCATAAGAAAGGGCGCAGCACCCAGAAATGAGCAACGGTGGCAGGAGGAACTGTCACCACCCGGGGGCCAGAAGGGACAGGAAGTGAAGGACTTTGGATCCAGAGATGCTCCCAAAGGGAGAGGGTCTCCGAGAGGCTGCCAGGATCGTCCCCTGTGTGTCCTCACAGCGCCCATCACCGTGGGCAGTGAGGCTGCTCGTTCATCTCTGTGCGTCGCACTCTGCCTCCCAGGCTCAGTGACCGCCAGGACAGGGGCTCTGCTGTTTGGTGCTTCGCCCACAAGCCCAGGCAGCCCTGACAGGGCAGGTGCTCGGATGTGCCCACACCCTGTGTCCGCTGAGTGCAGGATGAAAGTGCTGTGCTGTGTAAGCCCACATGGGATGGTTTGTTCATTACTCACTGGTGACCAAATAATCACTCCCCAAAGATACCCACGTCCACACCCTGGAACCTATGGATATGTGACCTGGGCTGTGTAGGAAAAGGAACCTGGAAGCTATGGTGAGGTTAAAGGTCTTGAGTTAGAGAGATGATTCTAGGTCAGCCGGGTGGGCCCAGGGTCACCACACAGGAATTAGCAGAGAGAACAGGAAATTCAGAGGCAGAGACTGAGAGACGGCAATGGAAGGGGACGGGGAATGGTTTGGGGCCACGAGCCATGGAAAGTGGGTGGCCTCTTAGTGCTGGGCAAGACAGGGAAGTGGCTTCTGTCCCAGAGATCCCAGGAGGAACACAGGCCCATTCACCCTCCTTAGAACTCTGACTTCCTGAACTGCAAGACAGTCCATGTCTATTGTCTATGCATTTGGGATCACTCATCACAGCAGCTGAAAGAAACTTATACACTCGCCTGAGGAAGTTGCAGGACACCTATAGGGTCTGAGCTCTTCCACAGATCAGGATGTAGAAGGCTCAGATTCCAGGGACCAAAGCAGGGGCAGAGCTCACAGGGCAGTGGGGGCAGGGCAGTGGGGGCAGGGCACTGAAAGCCCTTCCCGGGGTCATGAGCAGCATCGAGTAGAAAAACCAGGGAGGCCCAGATAGAAGCCACTCGTGGCCCCATACTACGGGCTGACTCCTTCCCAGTGATACTCAGAATTCCCTCTTATGACGAGCCAGTTCCTCAGTCATGGAGCAGGAGCAGTGTAGCAGGGTGACATAAAAGGAACTGACAAAAAGAAGCGCCTCTTGAACTTTGGGGATGGATTGTGGGGAACGGCCCGGTGCCAGGAGCGTCCGCAGACTTCATCCCTCTGCCTGCAGACAGCTCGGGGCCGCCCTGCGGCTCCCTGCAGGAAGCCTCCTCTGACAGGGCAGAAATGAAAGCTGCCCGGTGACAGGAGGAATGTGACCAACAGGCGCAGACAGAACCCTGCCACATGCCTCGCTCGGTTCTATGCACTGAATTTTTCACACAGCCTTCCAGGCCGGGACACTGTTACCTCAGTTTTGTTTTCATAGCACTGGGGATTGAACCCAGGGCCCTTACACTGAGCTACATCCCCAGCCTTTTCTATACTTTATTTTGAGACAGGGTCTTGGGAAGCCCCTAAATAGTTCAACCTGGAGCTCCAGACTCGCTGTCCTTCTGCATCTGCCTCCCAGAGTGCTGGGATGACTGGCATGGACCACACAGCTAGCTTATTATTTCAACATTACAAAAAGGGAAACTGAGGCACGGAGCGGGTGAGTCACAGCCCACGGCCACTGGGGAGTAGCAGAACCAGGACCGGACCCCAGCAGCTGTCTCAGGGCATGGATCGGAATTGTCCCAGGCCCGGCCCTCCACAGCCCCCCACCTCATGTGCCTTTCCTG